TTTGTTGGCCTTTAGGAGTGTTTTCCAGTCCAGTCTGTTGGGGCACCACGCCCTGGCCCCAAAAGAATTTAGGCTTGTAATAGACTCCCTCCCCCATCTTAGATTTTGTTAATCATCTTAATCACACTGGCTGGTATGCATCTTTCCTGTGGACTTAACTGACACCTCACTTAAATGGCGGCTTGTTTTAAAACAAGAATTATAGCAACAAGCCCACAAGAAAGAATCACACCAGCCGGTGCGATCATGAGGTGTCATGGGGACCGGGTAACACAGGCATCAGAAGATTCATAACAACAAACAAAAACGTGCTGGTGAGAATGAGGGGGGTCAGAGCGGAGACTCAAAGCCCATCTGTAGACAATGGAACACCCCACACAGAGGGGTCGCAGGGAAGGGACGAGCCCACCAGGGTGCAGTAGAGCACCAATGGATCACCCAATATACCTCTGGTTCCTTGAGGCTTCCTCACCCCCTACTATCATGACCCCAGTGCTGTCTCCCACTGTGGACTGGATGTGAGTATGTACATAGGTATGGGCAAGAGATAAAGCTCATGACACACGGAACCCAGGAATAGGAATGGGAATATGATACCAAAAGGGTAGGGGGACGTGGGGGAGAGAAGGGGAGTAAGGGAGTACCGATCGCAATGAATGGCACATAATCACACACACCCCTCTGAAAGAACAGAAACCAGGGGGGAAAGGGAGACAGCGGTCTGTGAGATATGAAAATAACAATCTGTAATCTACCAAGCGGTCATGAGGGTGGGAGGGGGAGGAGAAAAAAAAAGAGGAGCTGATCCCAAGGGTTCAATAGAAAGTAAATGTCTAGAAAAGAATTAAGGCAATATATGTACTAATGTGTCTGATACAATTGATGTATGGATTGTAACAAGAGTATAAGAGCCCCCAATAAAATGATCTTTAAATAAGTAGATAATAAAACAAACCTTGAAGACCCCAGATGCTGTTCTGATAGCCAGGCACTATCAGGTTTCTTCACCAAGCTCTGCTCCTATGACTCACCCTGCCTTCAAGGATCACTTCATGAAGTGTCCTGTCTTTTACTGACAAATCCATTTTAACACCATGTTTATTTGGACGTGTACAAATTGTTGAATGTGCTGCTGTGCATATTCCCAACATCAACCCCAAAAAACAAATTAGAAAATAAGTATCTTTATTTGGCAAATTGGTCAGTTGATGTCACACAAGTTATTTGTACAGAGGTTTACCTAAGAAAAAGGGAAGTTTCCGGATATCTTTTCTCTGAAGGCATCCCTCGCATGCCCATTTCTGTATTCCCTGGTGTAATGTCTTACATGAGACATGACTTGACAAGTATTTATAAATATTTAAAAAGAAATGTCTTTAAATGTGTTACCTAATTCTGATGTTCTTCACAGTTAGTCCAAGTTCACATTCCTATCTTTGAATAAGCGGTTATAGTAAAGATAAGAACACAAATGTTTGCTCTACAGTAAGTGGTAACCTGTGCCACTCAAAACTGCACCTGAATCTCTGAGCTGGAAGCAAAGCCGCTGTAACCAGGGCAGCTTGTTTAAGAGTGAGGTAGCCGGCTCACACCCTCTGGCTCAGGACTGAGAGAGTCTAATTTAGAAGGCCCTTTCCAATCTGCTGCAGGCACGGATATATAAGCCAGCATTATTTCTGAAAGATTGTAAAGACCATTCTACTTAGAACAGAAAAGAGTAGATATCAGAGTTTTAGTTCATTCCTACCGCTGGTTAGAACAGAGTCCACATTTTATTTATAGTATACAATCTCTGTACTCTTTAGTAAATCAAAATTCAAAGCATTTCTTTATAAAGATATTAACTGCCTGTAAGAGTAAGCAATTAAATGTTTCTGTGATCCACATTCATATTCCAATGCTTTTTATAAATACGATAGTCATACTTTCTCTAGTTTGTCAGAATAACAAGACCAGAGTTATGGTTCCAGATTTTCTAATTAGTTGTAAGGCCTGAGAGAAACCATTTTAAATCTCTGCCTTCACCAAAATCAAAGAGGATCAGTAATACCGCTTTAAAAAAAAAATTGCCTTTCATAGTAAGCATATAGATTTATATGAAAATATTTTGCTAGAGTTGCTAAACAGTCACAAATGATTCTGTAATATTTGGCTGACATTTTATAATTTGACCAAAATAAAGATTATATACTTTCAGAATTACAAAAATCTAGTTATATAAGCTAAATTAAAATAGAAAAGCTGGTTACAGTAAGAAATCCACTTATGCATGGTCTCATTTTATTACACGAAGAAACGATAATTATAAAAATAGGCCAGGTTTCATGAAAATATTCCTATTTATTGTATCTTAGGAGTTCTTCTTGCTCATGTCAATGGACTGTCTGGCATCGGCCACAGATTCGGGGACTCGCACAGTCATGTTGTCCATGGACTTGGTCAAGCAGATCTGGCAGCCCAAGCGTGACCTGCGCAAAAGGGAGGAAAAGGCATGTGTCGTCTGAGGCGGCAACAGTCACAAGGCAATGCAGCTGTTTCAGGCATTTTGTATTTTCTTACCAAAAGCAGTAGGGAATTTATTTCCTCATATAGCTTACATGAAGTTGAAAGAGACAGACTAAACTCTATCCATATATAAAATACAAAACCTGGCAGGCCAAATTTTCATCTTAGCCTTTAGGTTCCATCATCTACTAATCTTCTCATCAGAATTACTACTCTTCCTGGTGAAATGGTTGACAAGCAGTGAAAATAATCAAAAGATACAACAGCACAGAAAAGAACTGAGGTTAACATAGCCAAAAGTACATAGAGAGAGTGAATCAGTTTCCAGAAATTAACACCACAGACTTGTAAAAATGAAAAGACAAGACATAGACTGGGAGAAAATACTTGCAAAATACTCATCTGATAAGACTTGTCTCCAAAACTTAACAAGAAACTCTTAAAACTCAACAAACAGAAAACAACACACACCACATTTTTCCCAATGGGCAGAGATGTGAATGCACACGTTACCTTACTAAAAACGATGCAGTGATGGGTGGTAAATGATAGAAACAATGCTCAATATCATATGTCAGTCACTAGAGAATTATAAGCCAAAACACAACAACGTACCTATTAGAATGGCTAAAATCCAAAACCAAATGCTGACAAGGATGTGGAGAAACAGGACCTTTCAGTCATTGCTGGTGAGAATGAGGAAGGTACAGCCACTGTGAGGGCAATCAGGCAATGTCTTACAAAGCTGAACACACGCTTCTCATGTATGTGATCCAGCAATGGCGTCCCTAGGTATTTCATCCAAGTGAGCTAAAAACTTATGCCCACACAAACGTTTATGAGCAAATGTTTCGTTATTATAATGAAAGGGATAGAGGCCAGTGTACATGTATTTATGTTCAGTATTAAGACAGCAGACGGACTCTGGGCCTCTAGTCATGGCCTAACACAAGAGCACTTTGTTCTAATCACCTGGCACGCCTGATGCTCACCTTTCCGTCACAGTCACTGAAGACAAAATGGGTGCATAAGCAAATGTGGTGAAGAGAGTGGATGTTGGTCAGTTATCAAAAGATAGCATCTGGGGTCTTAAAGGCTTGAAGTCAAACAAGTGGCCATCTAGCAGGGAAGCAAATAAGCCCACATGGAAGAAGCACACCAGCCTGTGTGATCATGAGGTGTCAACAGAATAAGGCAACTATATCGATGCAAAAGAGAGGGGTTGGAGTGGAAACCCAAAGCCCATCTGTAGATAAAAGTGGTATAGGAAGGGATGATTCAACCATGGTGTAGTATGGTACCAACAAATCACACATTATTCCTCTAGTTCCTGAATCCTTCCTCCCCACCACTACCACGACCCAGTGCTACCTTACAAATCTAATCTGGCTAGATAGGAGAACACACATTGGTACAGACATAGGGAATTCAGGAAAGATAACCCCTTCAGGAACAGTAATGGGAGTAGCGATATCATGAAGGCAGGGGGTGGTCAGGGAGGTGAGAAGGGGGAAACCCACCGCAAGGTTGGATAGATAGCCCCCACCCCCCAAAGGGGACAAATAACAAATGTGAGTGAAGGGAGACAATGGACAGTGTAAGATATGAAATAATATACAATTTATCAAGGGTACACAAAGGGGGAGGGTGGGGGAGTGAGAGGAAAAAAGAGAAGCTTATACCAAGGGCTCAAGTAGAAAATGTTTTGGAAATTATGATGGCAACATATGTACAAATATACTTGATACAATTGATATATGGAATGTTATAAGAGCTATAAGAGTCCCGATAAAATGAATTTTTTTTAAGTTTCATTATTATACTTGGAAGCAACCAAGAAATCCTTCAACAGGGTGAGTGGATAAGCAAACAGTGGTACATCCGGGCAATGGACTACTATACAGTGATATCACAAAATGAGCTCTGGAGCTACAAGGCATCTCAAGTACATATTACTAAGGGAAATGAGCCAGTCTAACTGCACGACATTCTGGAAAAGTCAACAGTGTAGAGGCAATGTAAAAATCAGTGGTTACAAGTTCAGGGAGACAGTGTGGCTCAGGGTATTTTCAGGGCAATGAAACTATTCTATCAACTTTCTTAATAATAATGTATCAATATTAGTTCATCAGAGAAAGTGCTGTTACACTGGGGGGAGGGGGGCTCAGTGGGGGGCAGTGCTAGGTGGTACATTAGAACTCTGCACTTTCTGGAATTTTTGGGGTTTTTTATAAATCTAAAACTGCTCTTCAAAAAAATTTTTTACATAGAAAACCATGCATACCTAAGAAATTATACTTTTTGAAATCTTTGAAAACACAAATTTGAAGTACATAAGAAAAATACCACAAATCGCCCATTTAAAGATATACATTTGAGTGACCTGCCAGCCATAATCCTATGTGAATATAATAATTCTGGATTTCACCCCCATCTGTGGCTGGAGTCCCACTCTGGAGGGCATTATCTGCTAGCCAACAGACAGATGATGGCATAGCATGAGGTTATGTGCCGACTTCAGTAGAGGGTGAGGTGGGCCCACTCTGTTTACCGGTGGTCTCGGTTCCGGTGACGTAGAGTGGGTGTAAGGAATGATGCGCTGCAGCTGAAAGGAGGGAAAAGCCTGGCTGGTTAAGATTAGCAGGAGGCCAAGGCCCACTGGAGACATCACTCCAGAAGCCCCAAGTCAAATATGCACAAATGAGATACGATCCTGAGGCGGAGACTAGATGGTTATGTTTGGGTACAATCTGACTACACCATGTAACTCCCACCAAGCCACCTTTCCCCGCCTGCATCTGGTAAGAGGGGGGTGGGGGGTGGGGTGTGAGGTAGTGACAGGATTCACCTGTGAGGAACTGTGACAGGCTTCCCTGCAATGCCACCTGCTGTGTATAAAATGAGCTCGCAGAGAAGCACAGGCCATGAGCGCATCACCAGCAAGAGTGGAGCAAGTCCTCTGGTTGACCCTGCCTGGCCTTCGAATTTTGGATTGGTCTGTGCCCATCACCAAAAATGAGGCATTTCCTTGAATGTTCATGAGTCCTGGTGGCACTGCAGGAACTCCCGGAACCCAGAAAGGGAGTAACTCCAAGTACGAATGTGGGGAGAAATGCAGCAGACTAGCATTTTGCAAGAGCTGGACTTTGGGGATTTTTTCAATCTCTAACTGCTTGGGACTAGTTTGGTAATAATTCTTACAAAATAAACTATTACCACAATATTTTCTCCATAATCACATCATCAAAATCATGATTTGTTTGAAAATAGATGGCATCTTATAATCACTGCTATACTGTCAGGTCTGAGAAAAAGCATTCATTTACTTCTTGCCGGGCAAAATGGTGTTTGCAATAGGCTTTGAGAGCTGAGTAGGATTTGACATCTAATAGAAGATAAATAGGAGAAGCAATTTAGGCAAAGGTTATGTAACACACACACACAAAATGTTCTTCTGGCTGTTGTATAATATCGGACAAGAAAAGGGTCAGGGATGAGTTGAAAAGTGGCCAGGGCCACACACAGCTTCGAACACCAATTAAATAGTTTGGGTTTTAATTGGGATCTTTGGGAAGTTTTGAAGTTAGGAGGCAAACAACCATAGGAATTATTGACTGAGAGAAAAATCCCATTCCACCAAGAATTCCTTGTTTGTTTGAATAACAATCATTCGATAGAGACCTCACAATTCTGCATTCCGTTTTATCTCCAGGACAGAAAACATAATGAGACAGTTTGGACAAATTCATTAGGACTTCAGGGGCCCCCCAGCGAGGCTGTTGGTTATACTTGAGCTTCCTATAAAGAGAAGTCGGACAGTGCTGGTCTTACAAATGGAAATCTAGTACAGGAAACAGATAGGGAGACACTTATCAGGGAGAGAAGGTGGAGTACAGCACAGAGACTGATAGGAGAGTCACAAGTGGGCCACGGGAAAACAGGGAGGGTGCCACCAGTTCTTGTTTGAAGATACGGCAGTGCCACTCTGGCTGTGGTCTCCCTTGCCTGCTTCCTCTTCCTCACACACCAAGATCTGGTACCACAGTAAACGTGAAACACATAAAGTCATTCTTATTACCCCTGGCGACCTTAACGCGCAGGGTAGAACTGCCCCCTGTGGGTGTCTGAGACTGTAATTCTGTATGGGAATATAAAGCCTCTTCTTTCTCCCTCAGTACAGCTGGTGGCTTCGAAGTACTGACTTCAGGGTTTGAAGCCAAACATGAGTTGTAATCAACTTAATAGCAGTGAGTTCCTTATTTGTTTATTACTATTACTACAATTACTTTTATTTTTTAAAGTTATCCTACTTTTCCTTTGAAAAAGTGTATTAAGCGGTTACCTTCTTTGACTGCAACAAAGACTAAATTATTAAAAATGAAGTATGTAAATAAGTGCCACTTATGTTGTAAATCTTACCACTTTTAAGAGTCAGACCAAAAAACCCAACCTCACTGCCATGTCAATGCTGACTCATTGTGACCCTGAGGGTTTCTGAGACTCTAACTTTTTACTTCAGTAGGAAACCCAGTCTTTCTCCCTCAGTGCTGCTGGTGATTTTGAACTGCCGACCATGAGGATCGCAGTCCAATGTGTAATCACTAGATCACCAGGTCTCCTTTAAAGAGTAATACTACCTATTAATTAATAACCTGATTACCTTGACATACATTTATAAATAGAGCTATTCATATGGACATATGTACTATTATATAAGGTTTCTTTAAGGATCCCTGGTAGTGTGGATTAGGCGCTGAACTGCTAAACACAAGGTCAGCAGTTCAAGCCCACCCATTGTTCCATGGGAGAAAGATGAAGCTGTCTGCTCCTGTGAAGATTCAGTCTTGGAAACTGCACATAGGCTCCTGAGGAGTCCGAGTTGACTCAATGGCAGGTCTGTTTTTACTGTTTCTCAAGTAGGTAAAACTTTCCACTCTAATAAATTTTGTCAATATCATATTAAAATATCATACCATTAAAAGCATTAAAATTTCCACAACCCAATAAATACATATTTGTAGATATTGTGTTCTATTAACAAATGTGGTATTAAATTATAGAGTTAAAAACAGGCAAAATAGGATATTCTAAGATCTAAAGTTTATACTTCTAATAATTCCAAGTAATTTTTTTTACTGTTATGAAAAATTTCACAAAAGACTCAATTGTACAACGATAAAGAAGAGGAACTCAGATGAAGCACAAAAATAAAGGAAAAACCTATCTATTGCTACTGAAAATGTGTAAAAGCTAAAAAAAACCCAAACAAACAAACAAGACTACATTACTCACAACTCCTATCTTGGGAGACACAAAGGAGTAAGGCTGCCGTCTTCCCAGATTACCAGCACCACTGACTTAGTCCTAACCTCTTACCGGTCTGTCAGTCCATAGGCCAGATCAAGCATGTCGTTCTCTTCATCAGTGACGGTGTCTAACTTCTCATATATGTGATCTTCAAAGATGAGGTGACAGGTAGAGCAAGCCAGAGTTCCCTCACAAGCACCTACGAAAGCAACAAACAATGAACACACTCCCTTCGACACTAGACGCCATTCAAACAGCTATTACTTCTTCCAAATGTAGAACCCTCAGTGACATGCCTTTATTTCTAAAGGACGATAAGGATGAGGGATGAGAGCCATGCATCGTTTGAAAGCACTTTTGACACATTCAAAAAGTGTTTACTGATTCTTATATGCATGCACAAAGTAGAATACTTAAAAACGTAATAATAATAATAATAATAATAATAATTTATATTAAACCTAGGGAAGTTACTTACCTTTTCCCAAAGAGTTCAACACTACTTATGAAGCTTAGGGTATAAGCCAAAAAACTTACTGTCATTGGGTTGATGGCCACTTACAACAAGCCAATTGTACAGAGTGGAGCTGCCCCTGTGTCGATTTCTGAGACTCTTTATGGGAACAGAAAGCCTCATCTTTCTGTGGCTGACGATTTCAAACTGCTGACCTTGCCATTAGCAGCCTAATGCATAACCACTACACCACCTGGGCTCCTCTCTGGTATCAGAGGGGAACTAAAAAGAAAGCAGATCTACTTCTAAATGAAGTTTCCTTCCCTCTCCATCTCTGCTCAGCCATGTTACTTTAAAAAGCACCTTGGCTTTTGATAAGGAATATTCTTCCTGCCTCATTTTTAAAAGACATTCCTTTAACAATTACATAGTGAGTATCTACTTCATGCCAGCCGGTGTGAAAAGAGCATTGGAAAGTCCTACAGAGCAACCAAGCTATAATGGAATCTACTCTGCAACTGGGCTTTCCTGGTGGTGCCTGGCCTCTGCTTAAAAGCTTCCTGACAGATCACCACTGCACAGCCAGCCAAGACACTTGCTAAATCCACAGAGAGTTCCCACTGTACTGTATGAAAGGAGCCCTGGTGAAGTTGGGCTGCTAAACTACAAGGGCTGCAGTTCAAAGGCAAAAAGACGAAGCTTTCTACTCAAGTAAAGAGTTACAATCAACTTGTATCAATGTAGAAAAACAAAAGCAAAAAATCTGCTGGTATTTTAACAGGAATTAAGTGCAATAGTTCATCTGGGTGGAAGACACTTTTGCCATGCTGAATCTCCCAGTCCACAAGCACTGCATGTGTCTCCACTATGTAGGTCTTTGAAATCTTCCTTATTTTCAAGATGTAGATGCTGTCTTTATTTTGCTATATTTAAAACTAAAAATTTCAATTTGGGGCTCTTGTATGTTAGTTGGGGGAGGAGGGGGGAAGGCTCCCAATTATTTTTGCCAATATAGAGGAATACAATTGACTTTTGTGTGGACCTTAAATTATGCGATATTCATTTATAAAAATTGGGGAACAAAACCTATTCAAAGTGGAAGTGCCTATTGGATTTTTGTGCTTATCACGTACATACTTCAGGGGCAGTGAGTTACGTAATCTGGCTCTGCTAGACAGTCTCTAACTCCCACCAAATGACCTTTCTCTGCATGGGTCTGGTAAACAGGTGGGGGAAGACACTGATAACACTCACCTGTGACTCATTGTGACTAGGATTGCCTGGAGCGGCATCACATGTGTATAAAATCAGCTCTCTGAGGAGCAGGAAGAAGGAATCTCCTTGCCAGCAAGGGCCAGGAGTGGAACCTATCCTCTGGACCTGAGATTGCTTCACAGTGAACCGCCTGGATCCAGATGACAGCTGTACCATCAGAGAGCAGCAGCAGAACCAGGGGCCAGGGCATGAAGCAGAGTGATGGACTGACTTCTGGGCAAGATGCTGGCTTGCAGAAGGGAGTGCCTCTTGGCACTTACCTGGGGACACTGGGCTTGCCGGCCCATGGCAGTGGAGCCCAGTGTCTTCAGGGTAAAGCTTATTGGAGGGAGGTGCTCTGGGCACTGGATTCGGAGCTGTGTTTACTGACTGCTTCAGGTGGAGGCTTACCGCAGAGTGGTGTGCTCCTTTGGGCATTTGTTAGCACCTGAAACTCGGTAGCACGTCCTGATAAACAACTACGCTGCGCATTTCTCACTGGCATCGCATACTTGGCATAGCTTACATAAAATCCTGTAGCGTTTTTTTAATGAGTTTTGTCTGTTGAGTTTCTGTGTGGCCATTGCAATGGGCGATTAAGTAGAGAGGTAAATTCTAGAACATGAATTGAGGCTGAGCAACTGAAGTCTGGAATGGGATTCACTGTGATGGCTCCAAGCTCGTAGAAGCATGGTTCTTTTGGTGCTTTGTCTTTTAAAAGATGGAATAAGAAGGCATGAGAAGTATTTGTCTCCTAGAATGGCTGTTTTGTTCCTGTCACATACAATGACCGCGGCAGCTGAGAAGAGAACAGCTGCTCTCTAGAGTGGCGGAGAAGGGATCGTTGCATTTGAGTATTAAAAAGGTTAAGGGTTATGTGTTTATTCGACTTCACAATTGATACTCAATATTTCTCCTACCTCGTATTGTACTACAGGAAATGAATCAGGGTTACACGACATCAATCATGATTATAAGGGCTTATAAGTCTACCTTCAGCCTGTATTTGATTAGATATGACAGAAGGGGAGTTAAGAATTACCTGGAGGTGAGGGGGAGGAGAAAGGCTTTTTGTTTGGAGAAAAAGTACGGGCTTAGAGAATCTGAGCCCCACCCAGAACTGCTGGGGGGACAGGAGCTCTACATCTGTAGGGAAGACCTGCAGAGAAGACTGCTTTGGAAAATGTTGAGCAAGCAGTTTGCCATCGGATGCATCAAAGCCAGAAAGTCTTATGCCCAACAAAATAACCCCCTTCTAGGGCTGGACGTGGAAAGGAGCCAGCGAGCCTGGGGTGCTCGTTGTGACAACTACCTGGTTCCCCTTCCTGAGTGGAAGTGGGGCAGCAGTTCTACTGTCATCTGGTAGGGTTGTCATGAATCAACTCAACACAGTATAATGCTCTCTGTAAGGGGATAGAATTATGATTAATAATTGTCTTCAGCCCCAGTGCAATATTGGTGGCAGTTTCCCGCGTCTTTATAAGTGGTTGGTTGTAAAAAGGAAGAGGAAAAATAAGGCAAATATGTAACTATCCATGTACACATACGGATACACACATGCAGGCCTATGTAAACAAAGTGATCACATATTTGCAAATATAAAGTGATCATACTTTGGGGGTATAATATAGATTTTGAAAATTATAAGTTATAATTTCAGTAACTGGTCTCTTAAATTGATGGGAATGTTCACAACAAAATATACATGAACTGAACAAGCTCTGCTGGTATCAGTTAGTGACACGGACTATATCCTTTAAAGTATATGACCCTTCTCAACCTCCTTTTCTGAGCTGTTTCTCCCCCATTAATTACATTCACTGCCTCTCAGGGTTCTCATCGAGCCTAGGTTGCTCTTGTCAGTCTGAACCCACATAGGTTTTAAGAGCCTGAGGCTCAAGGCAAGTATATTTTATTAGTTAAGCTAAACTACGGCATGGTTTTAAGAAGACTTTAGGAAATATTTTTGGTTATGAGTTTAAAGATTATTTCTAGGCAATAAACTTAAGAGGGGTTCATCCAACTTTCATGGTGCCTGGGAAGCTCGTCTTTGAGAATTTAAAATTGTTTTCTGCATTTTTCCCCTTTTGATAAAGATTATTTTATTGACTTTTTAAAAAATCAAAATGTTCAGTAATGGTAGCTGGGCAGCATCCAGGTCTTCTTGGGACAAAGGGGACAGACAGTTATTCACGGCGGCAATGACCCACACACTCCATATATCTCCCTTCTTTGCTGTTCCAGGAGAACAGAGACCCGCTATTGAGCTCGGCCGGGCTGCCTATAAGCTTTAAGGCCCCCAAGCACAGGGCAATAAACTAGGAGGCAGACCAGCAGCAGCAAAAATACTAATATGCCAATTGGGACATTCTATAAATCCATGGCCGTAAACCTCCAAATTAAGGAATCAATCAATACCTTGAGATATTTGGTTGTACACAGCAGCCTCATCCACAGATATGTTCCCATTTATTGTGAATATACAGCACAACTTTTGCCAATTCAACTTTCTACAAGTACAGATAGCACTTACTGGCAGCAATCACATTGACTGTGCACCTCTTCCATTAAACCATAGGTTCTTAACCTCTGAGTCGTGACCCCTTTGGGGGTCAAATGACCCTTTCACAGGGGTTGCCCAATTCATAACAGTAGCAAAATTACAGTTATATAGTAGCAACGAAAATAATTTTATGGTTGGGGGGGTCACAACATGAACTGTATTCAAGGGTCGAGGCAATAGGAAGGTTGAGAACCACTGCATTAAACAATCCAACAATTCCATCATGATTAACACCTTCCCCTTTTCCCCATCCTCTGACTCCTAATAATCACTAATACATTTTGAACTCATAGATCTGCCTTTCTTGTATCTTTCTTAGTTAGGTCCTATATTATGTTTCCTTTTGACATAGACATAGTTCACTCAGCAGGTAGTCTTTAAGCCCCATTCACACATAGGCACATGTATCGGGCTTCATTTCTCTTATCAACCTTGTCATCCATTGTATACATGTACCAACTTTTGTTTAGCCATTCACCTACTGATGGGCACTCCGGTTTTTTCAACTTTTGGCTCTTGTTGAGAGGTGTTACATTGAGCACTTGTGTGTATGTTTCTCTTTGCGTCTCTGCTTTCCAGCCTTTGGGGTATAATCCTAGGAACAGAATCACTGGGTCATATGGCTGTTCTGTTGTTAGGTTTGTGAGGAATGCCACTGCTTTCCACAATACCTTACATTTTCTATATCTCCATCAGGGATGGGGCAAGGGCTCCAATTTCCCCATATTGTTTTGTTTTTAAATCTTAACCATTCTAGCGGGAGTAAAATGGTATCTCATGGTGGTTTTGATTTACATCCCTCTGATGGCTAATGACTATGGTTCTCAGTAGTATATCATTTTTCCTCATTTTGTGAACTGATATCTATGTGGTGTAAATCCTATCCTATCTTGTTAATGAGGCAGTGTTGGAAGCAGTTAACATTAAT